GGCTGCAGAGCAAGCTTTTTTCTCTAAAAGAGAACAAAACCAACCTGCCATTGATCTATCAAAAGAATAGAAATTTATTTAATCCCTTTTAGGCTTCTATTATTAAATGTACTGCATAAAACATAATCACTTTGTTCCTATTGTATTAAATATGAGATTTTGCCAACTTAAAAAAATATTTTATTATTTTATGTGTATGGGTCTTTTGCCCACCACCTGCATGCTTGTTACCAACAGGAGCCAGAAAATGGTGTTGGGTCTCCAAAACCTGGATTTACAGGTGGCTGTGAGCCACCATGTGGATGATGAGAATGAAACCTGGATCTTCTGGAAAAGCAGTCAGCATGCTCAACTGCTGAGCATGAACATTCCAAAGGGAAATGCCTAAATACATAAAAATATTATTCTCTCATAATATTTAATAGACTATAGGTAAAATTTTAAGTAGCCTCTTCATAACATTATCAATTCCATAATCACTAGCCACACTCTGCTAATTATTTTATATAAACATTAACTTTTTCTCTTTTTAGTCTGTACTGATATAAGAATTCAGTGTTCTATTCTTTTGGAAGTATCTTGTTTTTGGTTTTTCTTCTGTGATTGGCAAGTTTTTTGTGGTTTTGAATAAAAATGCCTTTAATTGCAGTGAAGCTTAGAACATATCAGAAGCAGAACAGAGCTGGCTTGAGAGGGCGACTAGAACCACAAGCCTTACTTTACTTGTGAACTGTCTACTTCCAACTCACTAGCTCTTAGCAAATGTGACTACTTGTCATGGATCTTAAAATTGGTTCTACATAGTCAAAACTAAATGCTAAATCCCTAAGTTGGGCTGATTTGATATTGTGAATTTGTTCTGTTAATGTTATCAATTCTTTGTATGTATGATTAGGAAAGTGATGCTTAGAATTAAACTGGTCTTCATTATATTCCAAAATATAATATAAATATATTATAAATATAATCTAAAATAAGTTTTACACTCTTTAAAAGCTATAAATACAATATAGGTTAAGATTAATAGTTTTATATACCACAGAAAACAGAGCTAAGTAAGATATATATTCACTATATTTTATTGACTGTAAGATCGGTCTTGGTATTATGTTCTAACTGAGGCTTATGACTTCATATTAATTTTTAGTTTACTTTTCCTTCATAAGCATTTGAAAGTATTTTATATCAAATAAGAACTTAGTAAATTACTACTGTGATGCAATACTATTTTCAAAGATTCTACAGTGGTTTTTATTTTGTAGTGCTGAGGGCATCACTTTCTTCTCCATCTTTATTAACATGCATAAATTGTATTCAATCTTAAGTTTCACTACACTGATGATATTTAACCTCCCGGTCCTTCTCTTGTACCCTCTTCCTCTTCTTGCTGGCCACTCCCTTCTCTTCCCAAGTATTCCATCTTTTACTTTCATTTCTCTTTAAAAATGCAGCCTCCATATTTTAAAGACAAATTTCGATTGTTCTGTTTAACTGGGGAGCATTAATAATTCCACTCCTCTTTACAACTTTATTCCTTAGGCGTCCATCTCTTGATGAGCATCTCAGCTATCTCTATATCTTTACTATTCTGAATCTCTCTACAGCGCTAACCTAGATTACTTCATATACATATGCAGGGGACATAACTGAATTGTATAAGTGTATAATTTCACAGAAATACACACTACAAAATGCCAGACGGATGTATTGTTCTACCTCAGAAACTGTTGTTAAATTTGTCCTAATTCCAAACCAAATTTTATGTGACAAATTTTAATAAAATTTAAGTCAGCAACTCAATGGGTTTTTTATTATTATTTTTTACATCTGTTTGTTTAGTGTGTGTGTGTGTGTGTGTGTGTGTGTGTGTGTGTGTGTGTGTGTTGGCATGAATATAAAGGTCAAAAGACAGCTTGCAGGAATTGGTTCTCTCCTTTCCTGAGAATGCAGGTCAGCAGATTAGTCAATGTGAGCATTTTCTTATGAGACATCTTGCTGTCTCTCAAACAACAATTTTAAGGTACAAAAAAATTCCAACACAATACAACACAAAGATTTGCTGATTTGTTTTTGTATATGCTAAGGAAGAGTGTAGGGAAGTATTAAAATTCTCTTTCATTTCTATATAAGCCATTTAGTTTCTGTAAGAGGAGCAAACTTTGTATGCACAGTAAGACCAGTAACATACAGTCATCTTGAATCTGTGCTGCAGTGTTTCAGGGATTTTCATTTGTCCTGGGTATTACGATGGCATGCATGTTGCAAAGAGCAAGTCATGTTCAAAACCAAAGTGGAAATGCAACAAGGGCAAATGCTGCCGGAAGTAGCCTGGACACATTATAGTTCATGTTCGGTCATTTTATGTTCAGAATCATTCTGCTTCTGCCAGTTTTTCAAGACCTTTTGCATTCAGTTATGTGGCTCACAGTTAAGAAGCTTGAATTTTGAAAAAAAAAAAATGGAAGTATTGAGTTATCCAAAAGAACTGCATCGGCAGAAGGGAAGGTGACAAAGATCGCCGTCTGTTTGTCAGCTTTCGGTGGCTACCACGAAAGTTAGGTTAGAAGGAAAGGTATTTTTTTGATGGCTCAGATGAGTTCTCAGTTAGGTTAGGAGGAAAGGTATTTTTTTTCAGTGGCTATGACAGATCTTGGTTAGGTTAGAAGGAAACGTTATTTTGGCTTACGGTTTTACAGGCTTCCTGCTTTCAGCTGGCTGTTGCTTTTGGGCCTGTGGTAAGACTGACCATCATAGTGGGTACCATGTCAGTGAAGCAAAGCCATTCACTGTATGCACCTGGGAAGCAACGAGAAAGGGTCCCTGTCAGTTTATAGAGGTGTCTTGGTATTCCCTTTAATGGCACGCCCACAACAACCACGCTAACTTCCTTCCACTGTGTTTCACCTAAACATCCCACGACCTTCCAACATTGCTAGTCTGACAACTAAGTCTGTAGCACATGTGTGCTTAGGGAATGGCATTTAAGATCTACACCATAGCACCAGCCGTAGCAAGGAGTTTCCTGGAATTCGCTCCACAGCCAAATGACAGCATTTCTTAGCCACATCTGCTTCCAAATTGGGCCATGTGACTAGTTCTCATCAGAGAAATCTGAGCAGATGTGATTTTATAATTTTTTTGAGCAAAGTAATCAAGAAACCATTTTTTGTTGTTGTTGTCCTTTCCTCTTGCTTCTTCAACAGCTTTTTCAATTTTTCTTCTAGACATGGGCCACTTCTTTATAAATCTGCATTGATATTCCTAGTTCAAAATAGTTCACACCTTATCCCAACTCTGACTTTTAATCTAATTCATTCCTAATCTTCACTTATAGCACTTCTTCTTGTAATGTTATGTCTTTATGTTTTAAAATTATAATTATTTTTCTTGCTAAAATAGTAATTCCTTAAAGGAAAGGACATTAACATATTACATCTACATTCCAAGCCCTATCACACTACATAACCTATCAAACATTTGATGAATGTATATATAGAATGAATGAATGGTTATAACGTTGATAGTGAGAAAATGCATGTGCCGTTTTTATTGAAAATGGATTTTTTTCTATACAATATATTCTGATTATAGTTTTCTCTCACCTAGCTCCTCCCACATACTTTTCACCTCCCCACCCATCCAAATCCACTCTTTATTTGTCTCTCATTAGAAAACAAGCATGAATCTAAATAAATTAAAAATAAGAAAAAAACAAACAAGAATACAACAAAACAAACAAACAAAAGAGCCAAAGAAAAAGCATGAGAAACACATACAGATGCAGAGATACCCACATTTACACACATAAATCCCATAAAAACACAAAACCAGAAACAACAATATATAAACAAAAAGACATGCAAGGTTTAAAAAAATGCCCCAACAATGCATTATGAGCCAAAAATACCATTTAGTTTGTTGTGTGTTGACCTTCTACTGTTGGGCATGGGGCCTCCCTTAAGTCTGGTTTGTACACTTAATTGTAACCAGAAATTTTTTGGGTCCCAACTGGCCCAATGGTCCCACAACAGCTTATAAAATAATCACTCAGAGGCTTAAATTACTCACAACTATATGGCCTATAGGTCAGCTTATACTAGCTAGCTCTTTCAACTTACTCAACCCATCCCTTTTAATCTATATATTGCCATGTGGCGGTGCCATTACTGGTCTGCTGGCATGTTGATTCTTCAGAGGCAGGCTGGTATCTCCACCACTCTGTCCTTCTCTCTCTATCTCTGCTTAGATTTCCTGCCTGGCTTTAAGCTTTCTTGCCATAGGCCAGTGCAGCTTTATTTATCAACCAATCAGAGCAGCACAAATTCACAGCATACAGAAAGACATCCCACGGCACCTAATGAGATTTTGTTGGAGAAAACTATTTTTCTCTTTGCTGGGGATTAGTTGAAGATAGCTTCTAGGCTAAGGATAGGGGTTTCTGTCTACTTCTCCTTTCAGTGATGGGATCCCATTGACTTCTACCTGTGCAGGCCCAGTGCATGCTGCCACAGTCTCTGAGTTCTTTTGTATGTGTCTTAAGGAATAATAATATGATTGTTGTCAAGGGGACACGGGATAGCTCCCAGAAAATTATGTTTGTTTTTCCACATAGAAGTAAGCCCACGGTGGCTGGAGCCTCTGAGAATTTGGGTGAAACTCCTGGGTCTGTGGTTCCAAGGGCAGCATGCTCAGTGGTGACTGAACAGCTCCCCGGGAGGGCTCCCAAGGCTGTAGTTTGTTCTGCAGCTTTCAGGGGGAGAAGAGCATCGGGGTGCTCGAGCTCTCTGGCACTTTTCAGCTTTTAAGCCACAGAAAAGTTTAAAAATTGTGACATCTAAATAACAAAATTTAACAAGCTTTATAATGCCCTAGTTTTCAAACTCATTGTCTGCAAATGGAAATTACTGGTTTGGGCAGAGTACCGGAACTTGAGGTGGGCTGTGTCCACCCCCTGTCCCTCAGTTTGTGATAACTTTCTTGTTTTCATTCTTGTTTCACAGAATGGATGGATTAAATGAATATTCCTGTAATTCATTTGACCTACAATGTCTATTAAACTCATTTCCTGGAGATTTGGAATTTAAACAGATCTTCAGTGACATTGGTGAACAGATGGAAAAAAATGCCGCAAGGTAACTATTGCTACTGTTTAAACTCAATTGTTTCCATGTCTTATTCACATAAAAATTACCTTCTTTGGATTCAGGTTTATCTCTTCTATTATCATATGTTTTCCTTACCATTAACTTCTTAAAAGACATTGATTACTGATTTTGAGGCTAGTCTTGAACTCAGAGACCTGCCTGCCTCTGTCTCCCAAGTGCTGGGATTAAAAGCTTGAGCCACCATGCTCAGCTCCAGATTTTCATTAATATATTTAGAAATTAGCATTCTTGCTTATATGATAAATGCAAAACCTTAATTTGAGACTAAAGAATCAAAATAAAATGATGGTGTCTCATCATAAGTGCTGTAAACAAAGCCCCAAGACGGAATTATTTTAGAACAAGGGATATACATCCCTGTAATCACACTATGATGGATGGAGAGGCAAGTCTAGTGAGACCCTGATACAAAACAAGGTAAAAATACTTTTAATTGAGATTTTGTGACCAATGCTTTAAGAAAAAGGAGAGGAGGGAAATATTTTAAGTTCAATAGGGTAAGTTAAACTTGTTACTTTCATGTCTGCTAAAGGTAACATATCCGTGTGAGATAGCCGCACAGTTAAGTACAGGAATTTAATATAAAATAACTGAACAAGACTTTAATATGACTGGTTTGTGTAACATTGTGTTATGTATTATATGATGGAGTTTCTAACCTAAGAAATGAAAAGAACATTAAATAAAATAGATCAACAAGCCATTTATGTACATTACATAGCTACTTATATTTTTAATAGAAATGATTTTTAAAATATAAACTTCTCCCATAGTAATTGCTTTGTCCCCATCAAAACAAAGCAAGACACTGAGTGATAGTTTTGTTACATATTGTTTCATTATTTCCCAAATTGCTCTCTATTTAGTTTCCTTTCCCCACCTGATCAATAAAAATCATATTTAAGAGTATAATAATTATTAAACTTCTGGAATTCATGAATTATTGTTTAGGTTGAAATTTGATGTTGATTTTATAAGGAAGCATAGTATAGAATACAATTCTTACATTAAAAATCTTTTATTGCCCATATATTAAAAATGACCCTATAGCCTCAAGTGACCATTGATCTTCACTAGGGATAGAAGGGAGTAGCTGTGTGTGCTGCTTACTACATTTAGAATCAAGTCTATTTTTCATCAAATTCAATTATGTTTTTATTATACTCTTGGGAATAAACATAATAGTATAGAGTACATATATTTTCAAAAATAAAATACTGAATAATAACTATGGTTCACAAGAGTATAAATCATTTATGCACTCATGTATTGCCTTCTAACAGAATAGCTTTTAGAAAATTGTATGTCATGACGAATCAGTTATGCCACACTTACACTTCAGTGGTTGAATTACCCTTGGTATTTCGTATTCTAAGACTTGTATTTATCTCCTGTTGGCACACATTGAATAAGTAATGAACATCTGTGTGATATGGGTTTCCCACATTACTTTTAGAAAAAAGGGACATTAGCAATTCACTCTTAAATACAGTATTTCTTCTTATACTTGAATTTTCCAAGCTGTATTTCTTACAGTGACCCTGACAACTTAAGTGTGAATTCCTTTTCCCTCTTCTTAATATCATCAAGTTTTATGAGCCATGGGGTCTTTCACCTTCCCACAGCAGTGATTCACCAGAATGGACCAGTGTGCCCAGAGGTCACTGAACCTTCACCTGTCTTTCAAGAGAGGCAGTCATTCTCTCAAGTCATTCTCTGTTAATTTCTTCGTTTCCACTCAAGCAAAGCTATGGACTTCTACTTTTGAGGATAGAAGTCAATGGCAATGGATTCTTGACTTTAAACACATATCACAACTGACAACAAAAGTGTGAATAACCTGCCATGGATGAGTATTATGAATTGTACCCACAAACAGTTGAATAAGAAAGTTGCACAAAGCCTTGAAACAGCTTTTGAGTTGACTGGAATTTATTAGTTTAATAAGATATAGAGGTACCGAACACTAGACAGATACTGTTTAAGTAAAACCTTATTTTATTCTTCTGTTTTCTCATTATGGACAACTTGTCTGTAGTTCATGGATCAAATTTGGTGACACTGATACAATTGTCCATTGTTTTCATCTCAGGAAAACACAGTATGTGTTACCTGGGAAAATGCATTTGACTTAGATCAGGAGATAGGAGATGTGCTGGGAGAAGGAAACTGTGGGAGACTGTTCTGTAAATTACTTGTATAAGTTAACCAAAGAGGACACATCCTCCATATATTCACTTGTATTTCACGTGGTTAATATTTTCACTTACTGATAAATCTTTCTTTAGAGTTTCTGACATGTTGGTTTACAGATCTAGAGAGATGAAGTAACCAAAAGAAACCTTTAAATAATCTGCAAACCTTGAGCTTCTCATGAAAAAGCCATTTATCTGATGGTATGCAGAATTTGTTTCATCACCATGACAAATTACATAAAATGAAAGACCTTTCGAAGAATACTATATTGTTATTGTAATCCTGGTAGTATTTTGTCATTTATCTAATAATATTAAGAAAAATAGTATTTTTTTTTTAGCTCCCTGTGATTGCAGTTTGATTTGGATTTGATACTCTATATGGTAGAATCTCTGTCCCTTGCCCCAGCCTACTAAGCAAGACCAGACAGGGAGAGAAAACGGAAAGGGCCACCTGCTTCATCACCACTAAAACCTCGTCAGACGTTACAAAGCCACATTGTCTTTTCTTCTGACCAGGCCATTGTATCACTCTTCTCCTGACAAGGATGCTGGGCTTAAGCAGCTCAGTCACCTCAACTTCTTCTGGCCCAGTTCAGAGTTCTCACTTTTCAATTTTCTCCAATCATCCTATCAAGTTTGGAACATGAAGTCTGGTGCTACCTGTAGACAGAGGTGGCATTGAGTAGAAAGACTATGAAGATGAATGTCCGTCTTTCTCTCTTTCTCATCCTCTCTTGCTATCTCCTCACTGTCATTCTCTCTCATATCTGCTGCACAAATATCTCTTGCCTTAGTTTCTTCTTTATTGTTGTGGTAAAACACCATGACGAAGATAACTTATAAAAGAAGGCTTTTAGCTGGGTTTACAGGTTCAGGGAGTTGGAGTCATGATGGCATAGAAAGGCACAATGGTAGGAACGGCTGAGAGTTCACATCTAGATTGCAAGCAGGAGGCTGGAAGAAAGTGCTGGCAATGGTGTGAGACTTTGAAACCTCAAAATCCTCTCCTGCCCTGTAACAAAAACTTAGCAGGAAGCTTGAAAGACGGCACTGGGAATAGTGGGAATCTTTTGAAATCTCAAAATTCTCCTCTGCCCCATGGCATAACTCCTCTAACAAAACCACACCTCCTAATCCTTCCTAAATAGGTCCATGAATATGCCTGTTGATATTTCCATTGTTATGGTCTTGTTTATGCAAAGATTGTCCAGATACTCGAACATGTAACCTATGGGGGTGTGTTTTATTCAAACACCACATTCTCTGTCACTGTCTCTATTAGCTGTGTTCTTTCGAGTGTTTAGGGTGGTCCTCACTCCTTAGTCCACTTGTCTGTGTATCTTCAGCTCCCCTCATACCTTTGTCCATTAGCTCCATTTGATGATTGCGAAGGAACTCATTCCAATAACTTGAACATTTCAGATGTGTTGACAATTTTAAAATTTGCTTTTACTTTCCAGTATATTTTCAAGCTTTACTTTCTGTAAGTCAAGCTGAGAGTAGGAGAAGAGAGTCTAATAAGTCTTAGAAATGGACTAAGGTCTCCTAAAATCTGACCTCTATACTGAAACGTGATCCTAATTAGTCTTAACAATAAAAACCTGGAGTCAGATATTAGGGTGAAAGCTGAAAGATCAGAAATGCAGAGCAGCAGCCACCAGAAACTTCTTGCCTCTACGAAATCTCAGACCAAATAGGACATCCTGTCTCTATAAATCCTCAGACTGAATGGGTCTCCTGTCTCCACCCACCTCCTATTCCTTTCTCCACCTCCCTAGTGCTGAGATCAAAGGCATGATCCTCCCATGTGCTAGAATCAAAGGTGTGCTAGAATCAAAGGTGTGAGCCACCACTGCCTGTACCTGCTTCACTGCATAAGGACTTAAGAATAAACTCTGCATAAAATTATAAAAAGAGATTTCTTTTTAAAGGCTGGCTTGCAGGATTAGAGATTGACTAGTTGACCAAAGACTCTCTGCATGCTGGAGAGTTAGAGAACCTGACAGCTGCTCAGACTGAGAGACCTCGGAACTTGGGAAGCCAGTCTAGGCTAAGGCTGGGCAGCTCTACGGAGAGTGTCTGATGGGTAGTGACAACCTGAAGAAGGCAGTCCGATGTCTGTGGGTGATGGAAGCTGCAGATAGACAGCTTCCATGCGTGCTCTGGAAGAGCGGTCTGCAGGGACTGACTGGCTTCCTCTCATTTTCCCATCCTACCTCCAGCATATTAGAGGCTAACAACCACAGTCAGTTGCTATCCCACATCACTGGCCTCTAGAAACAGCTTGCAAGGAATTTGGTATCAAGGCTAGTTTTTTTTCCCCCTAGAAGTGTAGTTATAACTTTCTGAAATTAATAAAACATCTCTGAAATAGAACATAATTCAACATAAATGATTTGATGTCTTTCATAATCAGTAAGGGGGCGCATGCCTGGGGGATGCTAATTCTCCTTCTCCCTGAGTCATTGGTTGCCTGTAGTTGTCTAAAGATGAGACCCATGAACTTCCCTGTTCCAAGTTAGCTTGTCTTTTGATGGTGGTGTGTTCTGGTCTTGTTTATGCAGCCATTTCCAGGTCAGACTGTTTCACAGCAGGTTTCCTGGTCCTCTAATTCTTATGGCTTTTCTACTTCTCCTGAGACATTCCTTCATCCATAGATGCATCTGTTGGGGCAAATCTTCCCATAATCTGTTGATCTCTGCACTGTGTCTAGGGGTGGTTTTCTGTGATGGTCCCCATTTGCTGTCAAGAAAAGTTTCTTTGATGAAG